CGGTCTGGTGAGATAGCTCAGCCAACTAAAGTGCCTGCTTAGGCAGGTGTTCCTGCTCGTGTCACTCCCTCAGTGTGGCCACCTTTGTACTGGGCAACCTCAGGGTCCCTGAGAAAGATGGAGCACACCCAACCTGTCCCTTTCTGTACCTCCTGGGCCCCTGCTCAGCCCAACCCAGCCACACGTGCCCTAGACCAGGCCTCAGCACACTTCCATGAAGAACCAGGGAGTAAATCTTTAAACCTTAGCAGGCCATACACTTTCTATCACCACTGGCCCACTCTGCTGTTGTTTTGTGGCAATAACTGTGCACCAAGTGTGAAAGCACAGGTTGGGTGTCTTCCAGTAAAGCTATACCAACGGCCAGCTGGGCCATCTTGTGCAGGGATGTAGTCTCCAGAGCCCTGCTCTAGGGACTGGGGAGATAACTCAGCGGTCTGAGCACCTGCCTGGCAAGTGCAAGGACCTGGGTTCGATCCCTGGTACCATATGCCGTGTCGGCCACTGAAACTGGGCATGGTGGCACACACCTGTAAATCCCAGTGCTGGAGAGGCTGAGCTAGGAGGATCACTAGGAGTCTGAGCTGCATAGTAAGAGCCTGTACCAAATAAATGAAAGATTTTTTAAAAAGACCCCTGCCTTAGATCACCCATTACTGACAACCTCGCTGTAATCTCAGTTTAAATGTCTTCCTGCCCCCCCCCACCTTCTTCCTTCTTCCCTCGCTGGCACCTGCAATCTGACAACCTTCCTCCCTCAGTGTCATGGCAACCATTCTATTTTCCCCCTTATGGGTACCCACAGCTCACTGGGTAAATGATGCCAAACTATGGGGGAGGAATGGGACCACAAAAAGGGGGACACAGACAAGACCGAGGCAAAACCAAAACCCACTCCGATCCAGCATCCGGGGCCCATGATGGTGAGGTGTGAGCTCCAATGGGCCTGGACAGCCCCTCGCTATGACCTTGCTGGCTGCAGCCCACACAGAGCTCTCTGGGCGGGCTCTGCTTTCTGCCTGTGGCTTCCTGTGGCACACACTCCCAATCCCCA